CCCCGCGAGCTCAGGACGCCGCAGACCCCGACGGACATCAGGTCTCCGGATAGCGAAACGCACACTGCGATGGTAACTGGCCCGCTGAAGCACATCGCAGCTTGCGCAGACTCTTTGTACCAGAGCCTCCGGGAAGCCGGACCGGTTGGCCTTTCAGCGTCAGAACTGCAGCGCGTGGCCACGGGGCTTGGCTATTCTGTCGGTGATGTAGTTGAGAGTCTCAGAGCGTCATCGCTAATTGTGGCTGTAGGATTCGATCAGCTGCGTTACATTGCGCGCGACCACATCAACACTTGGACAATCCCGGCGTTTGTCAAGCCTCTGGCAAACGCGGTGCCTTCCAGCCGCGTGGTGGAGATGTCACTGATGACCGATGAAAATGGAAACCCAACGCCAGCGCGAATGTGGTACGACATCAACGGGGACCAAGTGGAGACCACTAAACGTGCTTGCATGGAGGCGACACTAGGGCACATTGTCCAAATGCCAGGCATTTACGAGGTGAGCGGGCCACATCTGTTATGTCAGGTTATCTAGTTTTCATCGTGCGCGATCTCAAATTAATCATCATCTTCTTTTGCTTCTATCAAAACTAGTCCAAACTATATTCAAAACTTGCAAACGTCATGTCGCGAGTTGAGCTAAGCGAGATTTTGCAGTTCCTTGTCGACCGCCGCGCGTGTCGCCGCAGAGTTTTCATCAAACCAAAGCCTGTGCGAAGTATCTTGCACGGCTTGTTTGAGGACTCGGACGAGGAGGGCTTTTTACAAGAAGGTGAGGGTGTTGCACGCCGTTTGGTTGGTAAATATGTGGACAGTAAGGGCTAAACCCGTTTCTGCCCCAATCGCATTGTTCAGACCCGGAGAGCATGAGTGAAATGAAGATCAGCTGCTACTGGCCCGAGAGCGAGTGGTTCCGCAAAACTTCGTAACTGCAGACCAATTTCTCTGTATTTTATTTCGACGTTTTTGTACATGTCGCTGTCGCGTTCCTTCTTTTTTTCACACTTCGCATTCCCCGGATACCTTCCCTGTTACGTTGCTGCCAAAAATAGCATTGGCTTACACATTCCAATTGACCCCCGCTTTTCGATAAGAAGGCCGACGGGCTGGCGCCACCTTCCTTGTCTCTTTGGCGATGGAGCTTTAACCACCCCAATCAACACACGGATATATCGCCCAATAGCCTCCAAATCACGCAAACACCATGAATCCGTCACAGTATACGAACTTGACTGAGCAACAAAAGCTTTACATGTATGCCGCACAGCAGCAGCAGCGTGCGGCAGGCCCACCACAAACGGGCGGTAGTTTGCTGCAGCATAACAACGGCCACCAACAACCGCAGCCGCAATATGCGGGAACTAGTCTTCAGAATCAGCAGCAGCAACAGCATCAAAGCAACCCATCTATTGGTACCGGCGGCGGTACTGGTGGAGCTGGCCTTCAGCAACAGCATCAACAGCCAGGGCCCTCCTCCGGCCAGCCAGTATATGAATGGCAATTGACCATATCGCCCGAAGTGCGCCAGAGCTGGATTACTAGGCTGTGAGTGAGCTAACCGCGGGGACTGCTCCTTTTTCATTTGTGAACGGGCAAAATATTCGGTGGCGCTTGAAAAGATGGAGTTGAAAGAAGTTATTGGTTCTCACGGAACTGTATGCGTAATTCGTCCTTTGACATTATAGCGCTTCCGCCATCCGAACGATATCGGCATCTTCAGGGCGGGGGACTCACATCAACCCGGAGTTGGCTGCAACGACCTTTGAGCAGCGTACATATGCGCAATCAAAAACTATGGTGAGTAACGGTACCCACGAAGATCTGCCTTCCATGTGTCCGCTATTCCAAAAATGCTGAGATGATTCCCCTGTCTGGTCTCTACATGACCTTGCCTGCAGGCCGAATATACCCGTATATTGGACGGAAAGATGAACGGATTTCTTGAACAGATACAGAATGTCCAGCAAGCATTACAACAGCATGCAGCCGGCGGCGGACCGCCCATGCCTCGTCCTATGGCGGCACTTCCCGGGTCGCACCCCAGAATTCGCCAGCTCGTTGAGACCAAAACGATACCTGAGCTGCAAGAAATGGCGCGTAAAAGTGCAAACATGAAGCCTAGCCTGTTGGAACTCTTAATCACTGAGCGTCGCAAATATGAAATGTTACAGCAACATCAGCAAGCGCAGCAACTGCATGCTCAGCAGGTAAGGCTGTGATAGACACAATTATGATGTTGAAATGCCGGGCTTTTAGCGCTAAATGCAACTGCTTTTGTTTAGTTTCCCGGAAGGGGACCGCGGAGGCCCGGACAACAGGCCGTGCCGGCCGGACGCGTTTTAAGCGCTCAGGGCATGGGACAACCGATGCAGCAGCAGATGCAGGCTATGTACCAGCAACAACAACAGCAAGCGATGGCGCCGGCCATGGCGCAGACACATGCAGCGCAGCAGCATCTGATGCAGCTGGGGCAGGCTCAACCACCTCAAGCGCTTCAGCAGCCTCAACAGGTGAGATACATTTGTTTCTTTGGAGCGCTTACACTGTCCTCACCCACTATTTCTCTTTATTGCAAAAATAAGTTTGGTCTTCAGCAAGCACGACCGATGCCAAATCAGCTGCCTGCGACTAGTATCATTCAGCAGCGACTGCAAGCCAAACAGCAACAACAGCAACAACAACAGCAGCAACAACAAAATATGCGCGGATCGCAACCTCAGCAGACCGCTCCAGTCATACGCCCTCAAGGCGCTCCGCAGCTTCAACAGAACGGTCCACGGCCGCCAATTGCGCTTACTCCACAAGAGAAAGCATTTGTTCAGCAGCGCATGGCACAAATCAAGTCCATGCTGGATCGATCGGATGAGCTCATGGGCCTACTTTTGTCGTGGGGAACGGACGCCGATAATATTAACGCTCGCAAGATTCTCACAAATCGGATGTTATGCCTCCAGCAGATTCAAGGATTTGCCACGGACACCTACATAATCCCACCGGCAGAGATTGAAGGGATTCAGACTTGGTGGATCCAGATGTTCCGCACGGCTGAGGCCAGGCGGAAGATGTTGACTTCTGGTGGTGTAGGATCGGTTGGCCAACCGTCACCGCAACAAACGCACCACCAACCAAGGCCGCAGCAGTCAGAAACAACAGCAAAGCAACAGCAACCATATCAGCAGCAGCAAAAGCAGCAACAGGCGCAGCAGGCAACCTCGCATCATACCCCGGTGCAAGAAACCCCCAAGCCGCAGCCAGTCCAGCAACTGCCCAAGCAAGAGGTGGCAGCTCCGCCTTCGGCAGCATCGGACACTTCTCAGCCAGCAGCTCAGCCAGTTTTGTCGAAGTACGCGCAGCTTCAACAGGAGCTGAGGGCGCAAGCGCAAGCCAATGCGAATCAGCCTAAAAAGACGCCAAAGAAACGAGCGTCGGTGTCTACAACCGTGATCGACGTGGACGCCGCTGGTGACTCCAAGCCGGGACCCCATTCCGCCGCAGCGAAAAAAGCGGCGCAGAAGCCAGCCCCTGGAAAACGCGCTGCTACTAAACGGCCATCCATCTCTGCTGGAGGTACTCGTGGTCGTCGGACGTCATCAGCGTCTTCGTTGACGTCCCACGAGCCTACTGGCCCCGCGGTGCTTCCTCCCGCGCCAGCCCAGCTCATGCACCCTGGCGGCATGCCTGGATACCCTCCGATGGGTCTGGGCCTGCCGGCATCTCAGCCCATGTACAGTATGGGATACGACGGTCGACCAATCTCGGCTGCTGCGATGCAAGGCATGGTACCACTTACATTGCCTCCTCACCCGGGTGCCGTCCCAATGGGCGCGCCAATGGCCCCACCTATGGGATTGCCAATGGGCGCTCCAATGGGCGGCGCACCACTGCCGCCACCAGTGTTTCAAGCTCCAGGATGGCCGCAAGCATGGGTATCGGCGCGGGAAACGATGGCGCGGAATGCACCAAACTACTGGGCGGACCCAACTTACGATGCTGACACGTCGATATCGGACACGCTGGCGATTGAAGAGGCCGAGCAGTTTGTAAATTGGGAGGGCGAAGAGGATGCGCAACCGTCGCCGGCGACTCTAGCATCGTCATCATCAATCCCGTCATCCACTTCGATCGTGAGAAACATCAGTGCAGCAGCTGCAGCGGAGACTGAACAGCGTACCGAGAGGCGATTCTTTGGAGCATACCCGCCGCAGCGGTTTATCTACATTGAGGGACAGAGCCAGCGGCGCGTTCTCTCCCCGCCTCCAACGCCCGTACCGCTGGCGGACAGGCTACAGCCGTCGCCGCCGGTTCCGGTTGTCCCCAACCCGGCGTTGATGTTTCCGACACCGACGCTTCGTGACGACCGTGATGCGGCCACCGCAACTGGTGCTGCTGCTGGAACCCGAGCTCCACTGTCTCCCGTGTCGCCGGAGAAGGCGTGGTTCGGAGCTCCTCCTCTGTCGTCACAAACTCCAACGCCGCCGCTGCCAGCGGCGCCTAGCGGTGACCACCGGAACAACCGAAAACGCACGCACAGTGATGACGACGGAGAGGACGACGCTAACGCTGGGCCGAGCAATGTCAAGCGGTCCAAAGTCTGATTGAGGCGGGAGGAGCAGACAAGAACTAAAAAGTTCGCGCCGCCGCGCCTGAATGTGACGGGCAACGGGTGGCATTTGAGTTGGAAAACGAGAGATATATATGCATTTTTGAAATCCTGGCCGTATATTATGTCAGTGAGTGGGGGGAAGGTCCCGGAGCCAAGCGCTCAGAAAGGGGGGCCAGCAGAAAGTAATACGCGCACGCGCACACACACGCATAAACGACTGAGTCTTCGTCATAACAAAGCCGTTGTATACCGAACTTTTTGTTGTGGCTTTATCAAAAGGGCTTGGCCCCCACACCAACCGTACCGGGTATATACCCCACTTCCCGGAAAACACAAATCTGCACAAAGAAATTTAAAATGTTTATGTCTTTGTACACCACCCCGCAAAACGAACTGGTCTCGTGAGGCAGTGGTCAACCTTCTGCACTTTGAATGCAGCTACCTGAGTTCGAATCTCAGCGAGACCTTATTTTTTTTCGGAATTGTTGGCCCACAAATGTATTTTTTATATTTTTCTATCTCTTTTTGCTGTTTTGCAAACGGGGGGGGGGGGGATGTCGACTCTTATCGTGAGGGTTTTGGGGGGATGGGGGGGCCACGTCGCGTTCCGTTGAACACCTGAACTCGTAAGGTGTAGCTGCGCGCTATGTTTGTCGCAAAACACATTGCTGTGAGGGTTGACGCACCCCGCCGTCTTCATCCTAAAACTGGCCGGGTATCTTTCTTATGCGAGGGAAAAGGCTGTGGATTTTACACTGCAAAAAAACCACTCAGAAGCGTGGCGTATATATCTCTCAGCGTTACCGCAAGCTCAGGTGGCAGAGGTGTAAGGACCCAGGCTTTTATTTCGTTATCGTGTTTTTCTTTTTTTTTTTTTTTTTCCTCTTCCCGGGGGTGTATAGTCAGAAAACACGGGAGAGAAACGCCAAAAACAGATATGGTAATATATATCCCAGCCCATGTGTCAAAGGGATGTTCAAGCTTTTTACCATCCACCCTTTTTGCCTATGGCATTTGATTTTATTGAGAAAAAAAAATAAAAAAAACACTGGCGCGCCGCTAACATTGACCCCGTTTTTGGGAAACTTGTGAAGCCTTCTTTCTTTCTCCTTTTTCTGGCGGGCGGGAGGGGACCTTAATCAGAGCCAAAATATGTTGAGTTTTTTTTTTTTCCACACAGCTTTGTTACAATTTTCTGGAAAAAGAAATTCTACTACATCCTCTTTTGTCCCGCTAACATATCGCCTTTTCTAAGTTGGCTTTGTGCTGTGGCCTTTTTTTTTTTTTCTGCTGGACCTTTGTGCGGGTAGAGAAAAAAAGCTGTATCTATGGGGTGACTCATTGTGACAGGCAAAAATTGGACAGGAGGTGGTTCTTTCACGGGGTGTTTGCAAACAGCTGAAAGGCCCCCCACGGAGGACGGCGTCAAGTGATGGGAAATTCAATCTCTGTCCCCGCATGTGGTAAAACGATTTGGGATAACAGCTCTTTTTTGCGGTTGTCTGGAAAAACAGCTTGTCAGTAGACTGGCAAGCCGCAACGTGGCCACAGCAGTAGCGAAAAAGCACCATTAGGTTTCCGTAGAAAATATTTTTCGTACCACAAACATGTGCGATATTTATGCAAACCCCGGCGGCGATGGTGGAGCTGGGGAAGAAGCCAAACCAAGCGAACCTAAAACAAAGACTACAAAAGAGAAATATTTGTCTGCACATCACTCACGCATATTCTGCTTTTACGCCCCCTTTCACAGCATATCAATCAAGGAGGACTCAAGCCGCTGCTCTTCTTGCGAGACATGAGGGCGAGCCTGTGCAGTTGGCTGTTGGTTTTCCGCCGCCTGTTCGCCACGCGAGGAGCCTTCCAGTAACGCGTGAGGGCGCGAACAGGCAGTCAGCTCTGGCGGCACTGTGGTGAGCTGCGCGACAGTATCATCATCATTATCGCTATCTGCGGTGTCCTGCCAGCTTGTCAAAAGACCGCGTTCGGCGTCGTCGTGGTCAGGACCAACGACTCGGTCGGGAAGGGCGCGGGTGGCGGCGCGGGCGCTTACGAGGCAAAAGACCTAAACAAAAGGGAGGTTGGGGGGTGGGTGGATGATTACCAAAATACGCACATGTGTAAAAAACACGTGGAGGGTGAGCATGTCGAAGAAAAAGTTTATTTTCCGTTCTTGCAAACCTGTGTCGCGATAACGAGGAGAATGGCTCCGCCTTGGAGGCTTGTGAATGTTGCGAGCTGGGCTTTGATGGCGGGAGCGCAAGGCTCGTGGTATCCATACTCGGGACTATCAATGCACGATGTAACGCTTTTGGGGTTGCGAGGCACCGCGTGGTCGTTGAACGTGTTCAAGCCGCAGCATTTATGCTTTGTCGGTACCCAAAACGGGCAGTTCAGATACAGTATGGACGGTGGCTGGCGAATAATAACCCCGCCGCCCCATACCTCGTGCTGAACCTCATGAAGAAGCTCCGGCACATGATCGTATGCAAATTGCCAGCGCGAGGCAACATATTCTTGCAGCTGTGGGAGAATGAAGGGAGGAAAAAAAAAAAAAAACCAACCCGCCATAGGTATTCTCTTCTTTGCGTAAAATTTTGGCTCCCTGTGATATGCTCTGTGGCCTTACTCCAATTCTCCCGCCCAGAATCTGCGCGACTGCCAAGCCGGCCATAGCAGCACACGCCGCCGCCACGGCCTTCCAAACGCTGGTCCACCATTGCTTGGCAGCAGGTTTGCTGTTGTTCTTTCGGGTCAAAGCCCACCATGCGCCTACGGCAGATGCAATTCCCAGCGCGTCTTGAAACGTTGCGAACCACCACTGAGAGTGAAGCAGCGTGTGCGTGTTTAGAGCATCCAGCACACTGTCGAGCAAAAAGCGGGAGCCATGGAGTTTTCCGAAAAGGGTAATGCACGGGACCAAGAGGGCGAGCAACTGGGCGGTATGTTGAAGTTAGCGTCAAGCACAGTCAAAAACTAGCTTCTTGCCATCATGAGACGAAAAGGCCAAAGGGCCAAAGGCAAAAGGCGAAAGACCAATGGCCAAAGGCCAAAGAACCTAAGGTCGAAGGACCAAAGACCAAAAGCGAAAAAGCCATTGGCCATCAGGACCGAATACAAAGGAAAAAGGGCGGAAAGGCAAGAATGGGAACAGATAAAGGAAATGCGAGCAAATGAGAGGAGATGAAGGAAACGCTCACTCGCAAAGAGCAAAGACCTAAAGACCAAAAGCCAAAGAGCAAAAGCGAAAAGCCAAACAGCAAAAGCAAAAAGCCAATTCGCCATCAGTCCCAGAGGGGTCCGCGGGGCTTGCCCCGCGAAAAAGAAAGGAAAATGTAGGAAAGACCAAAAGACCAAAGACCAAAAGGCTCGCTACGCTCGTCAAAGACCAAAGGAAAAAAACCAATGGCCAAAGACCAAAGAGCAAAAGCG